AAAATAAAAATAATTAAAAAAAACTAACCCTCGGTGGTTGATTTGGTTGATTTTCCATTTCTGACCGTGATTGATTTCGCCGGAGATGGAGACTGATATCGTCGGAGATGGGGACTGATTTCGTCGGAGATGGGGACGGATGTCGCCTTAGAGAGTGAGAGATGGAGATGAGACTGAGTTGTGATTTAGGGTTTTAGGTTATGAGTTGCGATTACGGGATATACTGTGGACGGTTCAGTGTTCCGATATATTAATATATTCATGTTTGGAATTTGAAAAAAAAAATACGCGTTGGATACGAATAGCGCTATGTAAATCGCATTGCGATAGTCAGATTCGCGTGCATTGCGATTTGCGATTTACGTAATCGCATTGCGATTTTCCAAATTCGCGTTGCGATTTACGTATTCGCATTGCGAATTAGGAAAATCGCAACGCGAATTTGGAAAATCGCAATGCGATAGTCAGAATCGCGTTGCGAATCTGGAAACTGATTTGCGATACCAAAGATCGCGTTACGAATTATCGAGCGCATTGCGATTTAGTTGGTCATTTTGACAAATCTAAAAAAAAATTGATTAAAATTGTATATTATAAGGCATTTTTGGTCACTGAGATTATTTTCTCTATATGCAAAGAAAAATATAAACTTTCAGATCTACTTTGTTCAAAGGTTGGGTTTTCTTCTGATTTATGAGTTTTTTATTTATTTTTTATTTTGGAATCAATATGTAAGATTGCATGGTGAAAATCTGAACTTTCAAATCTAAACTTTCAGATTGTATGGAAGTAAAGTTGCCTTTTTATGTTCTGTTCTTTAGGTGATGTATGATAATTACTCTGGAAGGAGCCGCCGGTTTGCTTTTGTTACAATGAAAACGGTGGAGGAAGCAAATGTGGGGTAATTTATTTTTAATATTATATCGGCTTCGGGTCGGATTAAATAATATTAAATTTGGAGTCCGGTTATGACTATATTGTGCTGGGTCGGAGTCGGAGAAGGCAAAAATCCGACCCGATTCGACCAGTTGTCATCCCTATGAATACTCAATCACTCTTTCTACGATCTCAATGTACTCAAACCCGGGACATCTAACTCGGGATTGACGGATTTTAAATCGATTCGATTGAATCGAATATTTTTTAAAAAAAATTATGTTTGGGTCATATCAAATCTGATTGTTTAAAAGGTGAGGTTGAGTCAGATTAGTTTCGAGTGGAGAGTGAAAAGCTCTGACCTTACTTGACCCAAAGATAATAATGTAATTTTTTTAAAACAAAATATTTTTAGCTAAGTTCTTATTTTATTTCGGGTCGAGTCAACTCTAATCAGATTTATACTTTAAAAATTTAGATTTAATCAAAATCAGGTGAAAAATATATAGATTTTTAATTAGGTCAAATCAAATAAATGATATATAATTTTTGAATCAAGTTAGATAAAATATATATATATATATTTTTTGGATTAGATCAAATTGACAAATACTCTATCCTAACTCGACCCATTGCCGGTCCTAAGCCAAACGGAGTGCGACCCACAAGTGTGAATCAAGAGCCGGCGCATAAGTCACTACGTGGCTTTGCATGGGAAAAGCCTGTCCATTTTAGGTGGGACCATATTCTTTTCAGTAAAGATGCTAAATCCTAAGATAACCAACGTTGAATATTCCAGTTTCATAGTTATGCTTTGGCTTTTATAGGACGGAAATACCCTCGTATATGTATTGATTAACCCAATTTGTTAACTTTTTGGGAGACAAATCACATGATGAAATTGATAAGAGCTTTAGTGTCATTTTTCTATTTAAACAAAACAATGGGCAGAATGTGGTTTGGCCAACTAGTTTGATGAAAGTAAAATATAAACACTTTTGTAGCTTTATTATTATGGGGGTATTTTTTAACTTTCTTATTTTAAGGTATTTTTTCAAGTTTTTTAAGAATCTTTAGATTATAATTATAATCAATATATTAATATAACATTGATATTAATCAATTATTATGAAGTATAAATAAATATTTTAATAATTAAAATAATTTTAAATTGATAACAAAATAACTCTAAATGAAATTTATATATTATGAGTTATAGTTGAATGTAACACTAGTATTCAACTTTAACACTAACTTTAGAACTCTACTTTATCTCGAACTCTTGAAAACATTTGTATATAACTCCTCTTGTAGAATCAAGTTGTAACGTAAAAAATAAAAGCCTTTTTCTTGAGAATTATTTTTGCATGGTATTAGTTGTTGGTGTCGATCCGATCATTGTCGTCATCGTCTTCTGTTAAAAATTCGGCGATGGTTCATCCAAGATCATCTGAAGTCCTTCTGGAGGTAGGCACCTCCGTCGCTCACCCGATCACCATAGATGCAGGCTCCTCTTCCATCACATGTCATCGTTTGAATGGTGATAATTATCTTTCTTGGTCTCAATTAGTCTGTCTATATATCACTGGTTGCCGGAAGTAGCAATATCTCTCCGTAAATATGCCAATTCTAGACTTGTTATGTCCTTAATATGAAACATGGTTGACCGAAAACAACAATGATCATGTCTTGGCTACTCAACTCCATGTTGCCCGAAATTGGTGAAATTTTCATCCTCTATATATGACTGCCGCCGAAATCTGGATTGTTGCTCATGAAACCTATTCTAATCTTAATAATTTGGTTGCCTTGTTTGGAATCAAATGTCAGATTAATGATTTCAAACAAGGCGATATGAATGTTACACAATACTTTACTCAATTGTCTCGCCTGTGGAAACAATTAGATCTCTTTGAATCCCACGACTGGCACTGAAGTGCAGATGTAAGACTTTTCAAAGGGTTGCTCAAGAAACATCGGGTCTTTCGATTCCTATCCGGGCTAACAGTTACTCTCGATGACATTCGTGGCAGAATTTTATGCATTAAACCTCTTCTGTCCCTCCGCGAAGTGTTTGTCGAAGTCCGCCGTGAAGAAAGCTGACGATCATGCTTTTATCTACAGTCATTGACGGTTCGACGCTAGTCACTCACTCGACTGGTAATGTTTGTTCAAAGAAAGGTTTTCTTTGGTGCGATCACTACAAGAAAGTCGGCCATGTTCGAGAAAAGTGCTGAAAATTTCATGATCGCCCTGCTGAATATAAACCTTCCAAATCATCCTCCCAACGTGATTCTCACGGAAATACTACAACAATCAACACTGGTATTAGTTAGTTTAACCATCATCAGCTAGAATAACTCAAGTAAATCTTCGGTCAAATCATGTTCTCTTCTTAACCGAAACACGTATGTGTTATGAGTGAATGTATATTTAACTTTACTCCATTCTCTAAGGGTTGTGTTTCTTGGATTGTTGATTCATGCGCAAGTGGCCACATGACAAGTGATTTCACCCTCTTTCAGAATTTTACAAATCAAATTCTTCTTGTAGTGTTCAAATGGTCGGTGGTCCACTTTCTTCTATTGTGGGCAATGGCTCAATTCAAATGAACAACCATATCACTTTATCTAATGTTCTTTACTCAAACTCTTGAAAACACTTGTATATAACTCCTCTTGTAAAATCAGGTTGTAACGTGAAACATAAAAGCCTTTTTCTTGAGAATTTATTTTCTACATATATAATTTCAAAATTAATTTAAACTCAAACATATATATATAAACACTGATAATTTTAATGTTTATCAACCCTATTAATATCTCAATGGCAAGTTTTATTTGTTCTATAATAAATTAAAAATATTAAAATTTCGGCTATCCCTGTCAAGGAAATCGAACCCCTCGGCTCTCATTGCTAACTAGTTACCAAAACTTGTCGGACGTAGTTCCCTTTCCTCAAATTGAGTGATGAAGCTTTCAGTGCTTGTTGTTGTTGCTATTGTTATTTTTTGCTTGGTTTATGTGTAAGATTATGCAACCAGAGAAGAAGAAAGAGAGGAAAATAATGAAATGAAAGGTGCTATTAGTTATCCTATCAAGTAAAAACAAAATATTTTAAAGTATTTGGGATTAAATTAGATACAAAATCACTGTTTAAGGATCTAACTAGTGTTTTGACAATAATTTACGGGTAAAATTAAAATTTTAGCCTTTTTTGTTAACGTTTCCATGTCATCATTTAAACATTGATAACGATTGAGTGATCATTTTGCAATAAATCGATAGCGTTAGTGGCTGTAATATAACTTTTCAAACTTCAGTGGTGAAAAAAGAAACTTACCCAAACATTAGCTATCATTGATGTAGTTTACCCCTTTTTAAACGAATGAGATGTAACGTATACACTTTTAACATTTATTATGAAGTTGGAGAAATACTGTAATTTTTTTTAATAATTTGAAGGATAATTGTTGCAAGCGGATGTGATTACTTACTAGTGGTAAATGGTACTCTTTCTGTTTTCCTTTAATAATGATTTTTTAAAGGGCTAAACCAAAGTGGAGGAAGGCAGAAGGTAGGATATGGTGAGCGGTGACTCATTTAAGTCGGGATAATGCTGATGCAACTTGAACTGAAATATTTGCAGTACGAGATCATTAGCCTGATAAATCTGCAAGTAAGAAGCAATTAGTTATATGTAATCTTACAATTACATAATTAATACCGTCCCAATGAGATGAAAAACAAAACTTGCTAAACCATGGGTTGTGAACGATAACAGAAGCAAACCATAAATATTCTTTGAAAGTGAGTGGTACGTAGTGATCAAAACCTCTTAAACTATACAGCCTAGAGTACAAAATAGTACCGTGACAGGGTACTATTTTACCACTGGATCACTTGTGCCAGTCTCCCATTGTTTATCTTATTTGTCAGTTTTCTAATTAGGAATAGGATGTGTTTTGATTGCAAGCGTGAAAGAGAAGTTTCACATGAAAGTAACTTCTTTTGTTTCTTAAAGGAAAATTTACAGTGAAAGATAATTGAAGACGAATTCTTTTAAGTAAATTGATTTTGTATCTATGCAGTTTTTAACCCAAGACGAAAAAATCCAATCCGACCTTGAGTGGGACTCGTCTCTATTTTTGTTGTGGGTGCGGCTGTGACACTTGAGAAGAGTAGAACAACTTAATTTCCAGCTCAGAAATGAGCAACCAAGGAAAGGATCGGTAGATCCGAATTCTGTGGTTTACATTGTATTCTTCAATTTCATAGGGGATGATTATATGGATCAAATTAGAATTTAAGGACTCGATCTACAACTTACATATAGTAGAGGGAGTAATAGAAGAAATTTGAGTGAAATACGAACTAGCTAAATCTGCGAAGAGGACTTCGGGATTGGAAACGGAAAACAGCATGGAGAGCGGAGCCGTCGTGGTGGTAGAGCTCCAGAGAAACTCGAACAAGTTCGCAGAGATAATAGAAGAGATCGTGAAGATGAAAAAGAAGATTTTCCCAGAGCACGAGTCAGTCGCCAGATCCTTTGATGAAGAACTGAGAAAGAACAACAGCGGATTGCTTTACACCATGGATGCTCATGGAGAGCTTGTCGGCTATGTTATGTATATTTGGCCCTCTTCACTTTCTGCTTTCATAGCAGAGCTTGCAGGTTTTATTCCCTTCTTTTTTTATCCCCTTTACCGGAGCATGGGCTTCGCCGATAACATGTTCGATGAAATTACCAAGTCAAATTATGTTCTCTTCTTTTTGTTTATTTACTCCCAAAACAGTTAAGGAGAATCATAGAAGGCAAGGCCATGGGGAGGCATTGCTAAAAGCAGCAATTCAGAAGTGCAGGACCAGAAACGTTCATCGGATATCACTCCACGTTGATCCTTTGAGAATTCCTGCCATGGGTCTTTACCAGAAGCTTGGTTTCCAGGTTGATAGCTTGATCAAATCTTACTACTCACCTGATAAGGATGCCAATAGAATGTACTTGGATTTCGATTCGAACTAAAAGCTTGGAAACACAACCGATTTGGATTTGCTTCTTTGGGTACATAAAAGGTAAAACCTTCACTGTGCCTATTATCTTGTATAATTTTCTATTTGTTTTTCCAACAAAAACTCACTTCTAGCAAAACTCTGTATTGATGGATGCCTGGATAAACTTGTGCTTGATCCTTTAATCGTCAAATGATGTATATGCAATTTTAGATGAAATGGTGTCTGTATATTTATTTAAGAATGTTATTTTCTCAACCGATCAAGAAGATTGGTGAAGCAAATGCATTCATAACATATATGATTGAGGATGCGGTTTGGCTGGTAATCTTGTAAGGGAATGGTATCACTAAATATGTGATGTCCCAAAGGATAGTCACTCGCAGGGTTTCCTTGTGCGAGTTATGTTTTGTTTTATCTTCTGTATGGGTACAAATACAATTCTTTTAGGTCTGTTCTTTGTGTCGGTGGGAGTTGTTCTTAATTTTGAATGTTGATCAATTTCAGTTCTGTACGTTTCAGATTTAACCCAACAGTGAAATTAGTTAAGTTATTTTTGTACTTCCTTAATTTTAATAATTTAATAATTTAAGTTAAGAATATAATATATTTAATAATAAGTTATAATTAATTCATATTTTAACTTAGAACATATATTTTATTCTTATCTTAACTTAAAAATATATTTCTATTTTAACTAAAAATATATTTAATAATTTAAGTTAAGAATATAATATATTTAATAATAAGTTATAATTAATTCATATTTTAACTTAGAACATATATTTTATTCTTATCTTAACTTAAAAATATATTTCTATTTTAACTTAAAAATATATTTTATTTTTATCTTAACTAAAAAAAATTATATTATATTTTTATCTTAAATTTAAAATATTATCATAATAAAATATAAATATTAAGTTAAGATAAGAATAAATTATATTTTTTAATTTAAGATAAAGGCTAAAATATATTTTTAAGTTAAAATAAGAATACAATATATTTTTAGGTTAAGACAAGAATAAAATATATTTAATAAGTTAATATAAAAATAAAATATATTTTTAATGTTAAGATGTAAAATTAATTTATTATGTGAATTTAAGTTAAGATGTATAAAATATTAAGAATTTAAGTTTACATTAATATACAACATAAATAACATATGTAGTCAAATTTGAACCAATTAACTACTTTGGCTTAATGGTTGAGCCCTCTGTTTTGAAAATCGGACCGGACCGGTCGGTTCAACCGGGAATCGTTGTTTAGTCCGGTTCAATCTAAACCGGTTAAACCGCTATTAGTGAATCGGCCAGAACCGCTGAACCGTTCGAACCGGACCGGCTGAAAACCGGAAAAAACCGGAATTTTTGTTTTTTTTTTTTAAAAAAATTAAACCAAACAACGTCGTTTGTTAAACGAGCCAAGTCGAACTCAAGTATTGCTGAGCTCGACTCGAACTTGAAAATTTTAAAAGTAAGCTCAACTCAACTCAAACTCACAAGCTAAAAATTATCAAGTTTAACTCAAACTCGAAATATAATATTGAAACTTGAACTCAAAAAGGCTTGAACTCAAAAAGGCTTGAACTCAAAAAAAAATTTAAAGCTCGATTGAAGCCTAAAATTCGAGCTTGATTGAAGTGAAAGAATAGTTCACACCAAAAGGCTCCATAATTTTGAATGCCAAATTACCTCTATTATTTATAGAAGTTAGTTGTGATGCACTTCTATGTTTCTTAGTAATGTGAGATTATTTTGTTCTCATATTTGTACTCTTTAGACTTTTGGGATGCTCTTCTATATTTCTTAGTCATGTGAGATTGTTTAAAAAAAATTAAACCAAACAATATCATTTTGTTATGATTTTTTTAACCCCAAATTTATTTTTTAATTATAGTTATATAATTATATTTATTATTTAATATGTTTTACCTTAAATATTATGTTGTAGTTAATTTGAATCATTTTGTTTCACTTGATTTTATGGTTTTTAACTTATATATGTTATGATTTGATTTGAATATGACTTGTGATATAAAAAATTATTTTTTATTAAATATTTTTGGTATTTTTATTTAATTTTTTAAATAATTATGACGTCGTCCGATTCTTCCGACCGGTCGAATCGATTCAACCGATTGAACCAGTGAACCGGTAGCATGACCGGTTCGCTAACCGGTCCGGTTCTGAAAACCATAGTTGAGCCTTGCTTCTTCAACCCAAAAACCCCCATGTTGAATTCCCCTGAGTATCATTTAAGTGCCCAAAATTTTATTTTCTCTAGAGGGTGACACGTGTCACCCTCTTATAGGTGAGAAAATTATATTAAATTAAAATAAATTTAATCATCCTATTGGATGACATGTGTTATTACACTTGGCACCAGTGACACATGTCACCATTTGATTTAAGGATTACATTTATTTTAATTTATTAAAATTAGGATCAAATTGATAGAATATAGAAGTAACAATGACCAAATGTGTAATTATACTAAATATTTTAACTACCACATTATGTTCTCCGTTAAATATTAATGACAAGTAGCTTAATTGAGTGCATTTAAATAGTTGAGTAACCTGATTGAAAAAATTTCAAAAATGGTGGTCAAAATGAAAAGGAAAACAGTTAGGTGGTCACTGATATAATTTACTCTTTATTTTAAATAATTTAACTTTAAATTTTGGGTAAATTATACCAGTGACCACCCAACTATAGCCCCTTTTCATTTCAACCACTATTTTTGAATTATTGTCAATCAGACCACCCAAATATTTAAATACATTCAATCATGTTCCAATAGTCTTTAACAGTTGAAGAAAGTGATGACGTGGAAGTTAATAAAATTGGTATTATTTACATTTAGTTCTTATTACTTAAACAATCTATCAAAGTGGTCATAACTTTAAATTAATTCAATATATTTAATCCTCTAATTATATGATGACACATGTCATGATATCATTAGAGGGCTTAATTTAATTTAAATATTTTTTCTCCAATCAGATGGTGACACATGACACTATCTGATGGAAGTAAAATAAATTGAAACAAGATTATCTTGCGTTTGGGGGGGGGGGAATCAAACCTCTGCCTCCTTGGATGATAAGGAACTACCTCAACCACTGCTCCAAGGCTATTTTCTAATATAATGCTTACATCAACTAATACTTATCTTATAATATGATAAATGCCAAAATAATAAAAATAGAAGCAACACTAAAACGACTCAAGTCAGAGCAAGTCAAATAAATTAATATTTTAAAATATATTATTTATATTCAACCCGCCCCACTCAGAAAATATATTGTTTATATTCGACCATCCCTGACTTGATTCGAATAAATTAATATTTTAAAATAGTAAAAATAATATACTTATAATTATTTTTTATATTTTAAATGGTTAAAATAATATATTTTTACTTAAACTCGATCCGATTTGAATATATATTTTAAAATAATATATTTATTATATTCAAACCACCCAGAAAGCAATATATTTTAAAGTATATTGTTTATATTTGACCTGCCCCGACTTGAGTTGTTTTAGTGTTACTTCTATTTTTATTGTTATAGCCTTCATTATATTATAAGATAAATATTAGTTGATGTAAGCATTATACTAGAAAATAGTCTTGGAGCAGTGGTTGAGGTGGTTCCTTATCATCCAAGGAGGCAAAGGTTCGATTCCCCCATGTAGGGCAATGTTGTTTCAATTTATTTTCCTTCCATCAGATAAGTCATCCAATGATATCATGACATGTGTCATCATATAATTGGGGGGTTAAATATATTGAATTAATATAAAATTATGACCACTTTGATAGATTGTGTAAGTAATAAGAACTAAATGTAAATTATATCAATTTTATTAATTTTCACGTCAGTAGTTCCGTTAACTGTTAATGGCTAGTAGCCTGATTGAATGTATTTAAATAGTTGGGTGGTCTGATTAACAATAATTCAAAAATGGTGGTCGAAATGAAAAGGGGCTAAAGTTGGGTGGCCACTGATATAGTTTACCCTTAGCTTTTTATATAATTTATTATACGTTGAGTATTTTACAATTTTAATTTTTTTATAAATTAAATTAATGATTTTCATTGTTAATGATGTTCATTAGTACTCGTCAAACATGACAGACTAATCCTAAAAAATTATAGCATATCAAAGTAGTAGTAATTAGTTTGTGTTTTACCCTTAAAGTAAAAATAAGTACTCAAATTATGTATTCTTTAAATTATTTTTTGGTCAAATTAAGTCCTTAAACTACTATATTTAATCATTTTAAGTCTTATCATTTTTTAGACATAATTTTTTTTGACTAATAAGATGTTGACACATATAAATTAGGTATTTTTTTGACAAAAAATAGTTTAAAAACTTAAAACAAAAGAGAATCATAATTTAGGGACTTATTTTGATAAGAAAACAATATAAATACATAAAATGATTATATATAATAATTTAAGACTTAGTTTAATTTTAAAATATTTTAGATACTTTTAGGGTCGTTTGGTTCGTGGAAAAGAACATTACCAAGGAGAATAATATTTTCCGAAATTGCATTCCCATATTTGGTTGAAATGGTGGGAATATCATCACTTTCAAATTCTTAGGTATTAAACAATTCCACCACTTTGGACAAAAATGACCCTAGACTAATGAATTCTTTTTATAATGATCATTTTCAATTCTTATTTTTTTTCTTTACTCAAAATTATAAATATAATAATATACAAAGAGTTTAATTTAGTAAAATATTAATAAGTTTGAGTATTTAAAATTATTTTATATTTTTAATATTCAATATATCAATTATTTATAATTTTATGAGGTAAAAATAATATGATTTTAAAAATATAATTATTTAAAATAATCTCTAACTTTAAGTTATTAAAAAATAGATTTTATACTTTAAAAATAATATCATTGTCCATTCGAGATCATAATATTGTTTTCCATATTATATTATATTTTATATAAATAAATATGATATTTATGAAAATTTTATTTAAAAATATAAGTTTAATATTCTAATTATATATTTAAATATATTTTTTATCAAAAATTAGATAATATAATAATTAAAATATTTCTATAAATTTTTATTCAAATATTTATAATTTAATATTAAAATTAAAATTTTAAAAAAATATATACAAAAAAAATAATTTGATAGAATATACAGTAAAAACAAACCAATAAGGTAATATAATATTTTCATAGTAATATTATATTTTAATAATATTATTATAAAATATAATCTTATATTCAATGAACTAAACTCGTAAAATAACATAAGAGAAAATCGCCTCAGTGACCAAAAAAAAGTTATAATATACGATTTTAACCAACTTTTTTTGGATTTGCCAAAATGACCAACAAAATCGCAACGCGAAATAAAAATCGCAACGCGATCCCCAGAATCGCAAATCAGTTTCCAAAATCGCAACGCGATTCTTGAAAATCGCAATGCGATAGTACAAATTTGCATTGCGATTTTCCAAAATCGCAACGCGAATATGAAAATCGCAACGCGAACACATAAATCGCAACGCGTATCCGTAAATCGCAACGTGTATCCGTAAATCGCAACGCGTATGGGTAAATCGCAATGCGTATCCGTATATCGCAACGCGTATCGGTAAATCGCAACGATAATACATAAAATCGCAACGCGTATCCGTAAATCGCAACGCGATATTTAAAGCGCCATTATAATCGCTACGCGTGTTTTATTTTCAAATTACAAAAACGAATATTAAGACAAAATCCCGTAATCGCAACTCATAACCTAAAACCTAAAATCACAACTCAGTCCCATCTCCATCTCTCACTCTCTACGGCGAAGAAATCCGTCCCCATCTCTGAAGATTTCCGTCCCCATCTCCGGCGAAATCCCTCACAACCATTCACGGTCAGAAATCCCTCACAATATTCAGAAATGGAAAATCAACCTCCGAGGGTTAGTTTTTTTAATTATTTTTATTTTGAAATGTTTGCATTATTGTAGGTTTTTCATATTGAAACTGATGATAAGTTTACTGGTCATTTCAATAATAGATTAACCATTTCACTTAGATTTCATTTCGCGTTACGATTCTGTCGTTGCGATTTTCATTTCGCGTTGCTATTCTCTCGTTGCGATTTTCAAGTTAGTATTTGTCTTTGTCTTTGTTCTGTCTTTTGGTTGAAGTAATGCAATCCATTCAAGTTTCAATTTGCAGAAGAGTCGCAACGAGATAAATGAAAATCGCAACGAGAGAATGACTATCGCAACGAGAGAAATGAAAATCGCAACGCGATATGAAAATCGCAACGACAGAATCGCAACGCGAAACCAAAATCGCATTGCGATTTTCATTTCGCGTTGCGATTCTCTCGTTGCGATTTTGGTTTCGCGTTGCGATTGTCATTTCGCGTTGCGATTCTCTCGTTGCGATTTTCATTTCAACCAAAAGACAAAACAGTGTTGCAAATTTTAGTTTCAAGAATAAACTACTACTTTTTATGTTTATTGTTTTTGGTATATCTTCACAGTGTAGTTTTTGGTATATCTAACTTGGTATGTTTATTGTTTTTGTAGAAATTTTTTTCGGCTCAATTGACCTTGAGAAATAAAGTCAGCCTGGCCACTACAATTGCTTCGAAGCTTTCACCTGCTCAAAGACAATTGTTTGAGGAAACCTGCTTCGGGCCATGGCTGAGAGTACAACATCCGGGTGGAGATGCTAATTTGACCCATTTGTGGCTTCAGACCATGACATCAAATCTACCCGACAGTATACAACGTGGTGAGGAAGAGATATGGTTTCATTTTCCACCAGCGTATACTTGTTTTGGGCGGAAGGAGTTCTGCTTAATCACTGGTCTACGATTCGGACACGATGATGTAGGCCGGTACACTCGTCATATCGCCCGCCCATCATGGTTATCCCGGGTTTTTCCGGATGAGTCAATGGAGAAGCCGAACCTACATGTCGACGACCTGAAGAAATTGTTTAATAAGAAAGCTGGTTTCACTCGGATGGATGACGTCGATGTTGTCCGAGTATGCCTTCTACTACTTGTGTATGCCGGCTTTTTAGGCAGAGAGGCCAGACAACCTATTCATCGGGAGCTAATAATATTGGTAGAGGACCTGAATGCATGGAATCTGTTTCCGTGGGGTTCGTATATATGGAAAGCTACCTGGACTAAGTTGTCGTCTGCCTTTGATGACCGCAAAAGTTTGCGGGGCGATGGGTCCAAATACACTTTGTCAGGCTTTGTTTGGGCCTTTAAGGTAAGAATTTCTATATAATGTTTCTAAAATTATAATTAATTATTTAACAATTACTAATTTTGTTATTATATTGTTTGTAGATTTGGATATTCGAGGCTTTCCCCAGCATGCGTACATATGCAATAAAAACGTCAAATGATATTCCCAGGGCTATTTCCTGGAAGAGGAAAACTCTGTTGGATTGGGAAGACTTAATACCATATGCGACAATAAATAATGTAAGTTAACACAAATACTTTCATATAATATATAAACAAGTTATTAATAGTAGACGTTTAACTTTGTTTGAGTTTTTATATTTTAGGAGGCCAACATTCCATTACAAAGACTGACACCCACGGAGGAAGAGCTTGCCACTGATTTGTCAATCATTTTGCAATCTTTTATTCTCTTTGCAATCATACGCCACGTACAGTTTTTGTCAATCATACACCTTGTTTCGAAACGATCTTTGCTTGATTTGTTAACTTTTAGTTGATAGCCATCTTCCACACATTTCGTATACAAAGCTATCTTCAAGTCTTCCTTTGTATCAAAACAATCATCTTTCTTGATACGAATAACTTTTGTGTAACAATCAACTGCTTTCTTTACCAACTCTTCTTCCGGTATCTGAAGTAATTCTGGCATATTCCAGTTATACGCCCGTGGCATTTTCTTTTCTTCGGGGACTTTTTCTTCTTCTTTTTCTTCTTCAGGATTATATGAATTACAGAATGGATGTTCAACATGTTCATTCACAGTCGTAACTTCCTCCTCATTATCATCAACAATATCTTCTTCGTCAACGGCTGTTTCATCATCAAAATTTGGGTATTGACCAATATCAAAATCATTACACGCAGGGTCTGTTTCTTCTTCTGAAACATCATCAAAATCCGTGTATTGACCAATATCAAAGTCCGGATATTGACTAAGACCAAATTTTGAATACTGACTAGTACTCACAATTTTTTCTGTTGGCTCATCATCGTCTAACTGGTCAATACGAAAACCGGAATTTGGTGCTGAAAGTTGATTGGGATTTGGATTAGAGAAAGGTTGTGGGTTTTGAGAAAAACTTAGTTGATTACTACCCGCTACTGACCCAACAATACTACTTCTAGGTTCAACAACATACAATGTAACATCATCTTGTGAAACACTAATGTAAGCAATGAATCGTTCAACATCTTCATTGTCGGTTAACAAATAAACTTTACCATTTCTCTGATAAGATAGCCTAAATCCACTTAGGGGCTCTAAATTCAATTTATTTGAAACACGTAGCATTAGAGTTTCATAAGTTAACTTTTGTAAAGACAATTTTAGTTGAAGATTCATGGGTAAAGGCATATATTGTAAAACACCATGAACATTATCCCATGACCCTCCAAAACACAAATCTATCCAAACATGATCAACATTAGATGATTTCATGGTTGTAAATTAATTTACTAAACAGACGAGCTGCGAAACTAAAACCTGTTGCCGGATTGGGAAGGATGTCGTTGGATATAGGAACGGATGTCGCCGGAGAGAGTGATAGATGGAGATGGAATGAGTTGCGATTTAGGGATTTAGTTTATGATTTCAGTGTTATATACCCAAAATTTTAGTGTTGTGATTTACAGATTCTCGTTGCGATTTACGGATTATCGTTGCGATTTACAGATTCTCGTTGCGATTTACGGATTATCGTTGCGATTTACAGATACGCGTTGCGATATACGGATACGCATTGCGATTTACCCATACGCGTTGCGATTTACGGATACACGTTGCGATTTACGGATACGCGTTGCGATTTATGTGTTCGCGTTGCGATTTTCATATTCGCGTTGCGATTTTGGAAAATCGCAATGCGAATTTGTACTATCGCATTGCGATTTTCAAGAATCGCGTTGCGATTTTGGAAACTGATTTGCGATTCTGGGGATCGCGTTGCGATTTTTATTTCGCGTTGCGATTTTGTTGGTCATTTTGGCAAATTCAAAAAAAGTTGATTAAAATCGTATATTATAACTTTTTTTGGGTCACTGAGGCGATTTTCTCATAACATAAATTGAGTAATATTTTTAGTTTATTAAAAATATCAGTAGACTTCGCTCCTTCTCTGCCACCTTGATTAAAATCTGAGCGGCGTGAAGACAGGTGTTTGCTTGTGGCAGCTCCACATCAATTGCATTTCAATAAATTCTAAACTCTTACAGTTACGGCTGAAGCTTTGGGGCCTTTTGAGGGAAGAAAAGAAAAAAGACAATGGCGGATCGTTTCTTCCCCAACGAATTGCCGGACTTCGTAGCCGAAACAACACACCACGAACAAGAAACCGGAGATACTCTGATCAAACTCCTTTCCATGCCTTACTCTTCTCTCTCTCAACATCTCAAACGCACCGCTCTGGACCTCAAAGAGACCGTTGCTCTCTCTCTCTCTCTCTCTTTCTCTCTCTCTCTCTCATGTTTTCTCTGCTTTGTTTTTTGCTTCAACCTCACCAAATGTTTGCGTTATTGACGCAGATAACACTGGAAACGTGGGGGGTGACCTCGCAAAATGTCTCCGATTTCACTCTCTATTGTGGCACTCTCGGCACGGCTTTCCTGCTCTTCAAATCCTATCGACTTACCAACAACGCCAACGATCTATCCCTCTGCTTAGCCATGGTTGATACTTGCAATTCCGTTTCCTTATCTTCTCGGTACACCAATCAGTTTCTTCCTTCTTTTTTTAATTAAATGGGTAAACTACGTGTACCCTAACTGTGATTTTTATTTTGTTTTGGTTATTCAATTTTTTTTTGTTATCTTATACCGTACTTAAATTGGGTAATATCAGTTCATACATCAAATCAATTTTGCTTTCTTGCTTCCATATTTTTTTCTTTTTCTTTTTTTTTTTGAAATATTCTTGCTCCCATACTTAAATTGGGTCATATATATATAAATGTAACAATAGGGATGTAACCTTTTTATGTGGTCGAGCTGGTGTTTGTGCTCTTGGTGCTGTAGCCGCAAGCTATACTGGAAATCAAGAACTGGTTAATCATTACTTAACCCAGTTTAGAGAGGTACTCTGCTGATGTTTTTTTCAACCTTATGGCTGCTTGCTTTTATTTTTTTGTTTAAATTGTAATTTTTATGATTAAATGAAACAGATTAAGCTCTCAAGGAATCTCCCTAATGAGTTGTTGTATGGAAGAGCCGGGTATTTATGGGCTTGCTTGTTCTTAAACAAACATTTCGGTGAAGGGACTATCCCTTCTACAACTAAAGTAAGTATATACATGTTAGTGATATATCATTGTAAATGAGGGTGGATCAGAAGTGAAATTTTTTAATTGTGCAGCGTGCAGTTGTTGATGAAATTATCAAGGATGGAAGGGCCTTAGGGAAGAAAGGAGGAGGAAGTCCTTTGATGTTTGAATGGTATGGAGAAAAGTATTGGGGTGCTGCGCATGGATTGGCAGGTATTTTGCATGTTTTAATGGGCATGGAGTTGAAACCCGATGAGGCCGAGGATGTAAGAAGCACTCTTAGATACATGATTAGGAATCGATTCCCGAGTGGGAACTACCCTGCAAGTGAACAAGATAGAAAGTATGATGTTCTTGTCCATTGGTGCCATGGAGCCCCTGGGATTGCACTCACTCTTGTCAAGGCCGCTGAGGTATGATTACAATTTGTCAAGTTTAGTTCAAAGCTCTCGTGAAAACTATATTTGAATGAATTCAAAATATTCTGATGTTTCCCAAAAAGGGGCAAATTAGTAGATTATTTCTGTGTTTGATAGTTAAAGTATTCCTACAATGAGGCTTACTTATTTGCAAAAGCATGTAGTTAATTCAGGTTTTTGATTTACATTGTAGCTACTAGAGAGGGAAATAAGGCATAGCCTCTTAGAATTGCTAGAATTTTTTACTGCCATTGGTAAATATTAAGCATTAATGGATTCACCACACTCGGTATTGCTTGAATGGAATTCAAGTACTTTAATTTGTGAACTGTGAGAGAATTAAAAATACCAAAAATAAAAGAACAATTAGTGAACTGTGAGAGAATTAGAATTTATTAGAAATTCTGTGTTCTTTAGGTATTTGGAGATGATGAATTTCTGGAGGCAGCTATGGATGCAGCAGAGGTAGTGTGGAACCGTGGGTTGCTGAAGCGAGTAGGAATTTGCCATGGCATTAGTGGGAATGCGTATGTTTTTCTCTCGCTTTACCGAAAAACAGGCAATGTAAAGTTCTTATATAGGGCAAAAGCATTTGCAATCTTTTTGCTGGATCAAGCTCACATGCTTATATCCAAGGGAGAGATGCACGGAGGCGATAGCCCCTATTCCCTGTTTGAAGGGATTGGAGGTATGGCATACCTGTTCCTAGACATGATTGAGCCCCTAGGCTCCAGATTCCCTGCATATGAACTCTAACTTGTAAACTAGTACGGTAAATCAGTAGGTATTACTTGTCTACTTTCTTGGAATACATATGTACTTGGGAAACACTTGCAATTAGGGTGTAAATGAATCGAGCCTGAACAAATAAAACTACAAAACTGTGTTCGTGTTCTTTTTTTTTTTTTAATTTTTAAGATGTTTATGTTCGTTTTGTATTTAAAGTTTTCGTGTTTGTTTGTTTAGCTTTAGCCAATAACACTCTATCTATCTTTTTATTTGCGAGCCAAAGAAAAATGGTGAAATTACACCACTAGTCCTTAAGTTCCTTAAACTTCATACTTTGAACTTCAAAGTTTATCTTGTGTTTAATTTAGTCCATATATTCACCCCTATTTAAAATTTAGAAAAATAAAAGAAAAAGGAGAAATGAGTAAATTAGCTTAGAAATGAGTAAATTAATGAATTTGTTCGTGAATATTAATTCAATTAATACATTTATGTTCGTGTCTGTTCATTTATTAAATGAACATAAAAGAATGGTAAATAATTTATTGAATACAACTTTGCTTATTGACACACCTCTACTTGCTATGAATTATCTGCAAATTATGAGATGGGTCGAAACATCTACTAGGTTACCTCGCATAGAACATGACAATCAAAGCGGAACACGCATAAACTAAAAACCGCAACGATTACCTCGCAGAATTGGTAATAATAATGCGAAAGGGATCCATGGAGAGTAAATCCAACGAGGCCGGATCTGAGCAGGCGTATCCGGCCGAAGTCGAAAAGAGGCTTTCCTTCATACCCACTTATTGCTATTTTAGCTATCACCGGATTGGCTTTAAGAGCTTGTTCGTATGCGACCCAATTATGTTCCGGAACATATCGGAGTACCTCATAAAGCGTCCATCCCTGAGAGTAACCAAATAATTGCAGGGATATAAAACACAATAAGTAGCAGAAAAACAATATCTAGATTATAGCACTTAAATTTTCTCTTGGTTTTATTATGAGGATTACGGCTTCCATTTACAAAAACGATTCTGTTGCATGCTCAATTCTTATGTAGGGAAGAAAGGTTCAAAAATCGCGCGCAAAACAATTGGTTTTTGAAAACTCACCTGCATAAACCTCAAATTTATCACTAAGTTCAATAAAATCATAAATGAAGATCTCTTTCTCTTTTTTTCCTCCAAGCAAAGCTTCAGCTTTCATGGTTAGTTTAGAAATTTATAAACACCTAAAATAATTCAAAATTAAAATTAAAAAATGAACGGAAGAAGCTAACCAACTCTAGCAAATAAAGAAGTAAAACTTAGAACTACTATCGATGGTAAATACCTTTATCAAAACAATAAAAAACCAAGAGACAAGCTCATTTGAATTGAACCTAGGAGATAACTAACATGCCAGTAATCATGTTCAATTGTAAGCAGCTTAGACGCAGCAAGTGTGCCAAATCCAAGAAAAATAGATGCATTGAACGCTCTACTACTCATCTTCTTGACATCATCATCACCACCTCCCATATCATCACCAGAAGATTCCGAAATTTTGGACGCATTTGGCTTCTTGGCTTTATCGGAATGGTCAGTCTTGAATGGAGCCAATTCTTTGCCCTCCGTGACTGATCCGATGACCCAATTTATTCTGTTTTTGGTCCTGAGCTTGAATGGGTTCGGGTTGGTTTTGCAAGAGAAAGCAGTTGAGAGAAGAACTGTAGTGAAATCGTAGAACTTGTGGGATTCGACTATTGGTTTGAAAACAGCTGAGGGTTTATGGCCGGAGGTACTGTTCACAGCGGCCGAGGATCCGAGGTTCAGTAGAGTAGGAGGTTCAAGTAAGTTGGATATTATTCAAATACTTGATTGGTTTATTGAAGATGTTTTATGATTAATGATTGGCATAATATCGCATTATCAAAATGAATGAATGAGCCTAAAATACGCGTAAGCTCATCTTCCCCTATTTTGTTTTAAAAAAATTATCACTTTGCACGCTCTCTTTTATATTCTGTTAGGTTAATTGTTCGTTGGTATATTCATTATTATTTAATTTTTTAGAAATATTTATAAATTACTGAGTTGTTAGCAGTAATTGCGGCCGCCATATTACTCTTTTTTTTTTTGCAGATTGTTTAATATTTGGTATAGGCACAATTTCAAGTGAAAACCAGTGTTTCAATGTATATGGTTAAATAAAAAAAATATGATTTTTGAATAATGACCTGATTAGTGACAGAAAACAGCCATGCAAAACTCTCTCGCAAACTCTCCCCATAAAAAACCCTAGTGAATCCCCGCCGATAAACCTAGCCCCACCCAAAGAACCATACCGACTACCTCCAGCAGAACCCCCTGACACCAGGATAGTGGATCGAATGTTAGAAGATTACAAGATGGAAAATTCTGAAACCCCAAAAAGCATCGAATCCTCGTTGAAGAATATTCAAGAATCAAGGGAAGCAAGGAACTCGGAAGAACAGGATCAAGAACCGATCAACCTTGAAGATCGTGACGTACAGATGACAGACGGAAACACAGGTAAGAAAGAAGAGGACAAGAACAGAGCCGATGCAAACATAGGTCAAAACCTAAGGTCGCAAACGTATGCTGGAATAGTAGCTGGACAATCTAAAATTACTGCCGCCTTAGAAACACCCCTTAATCTTGACAATGTCATCATAGAAGAAGGCGACATAGTAATCGACACAAACGGTCCTATCCCATTAGTCGGCTTCTCGGAGAAAGTCCATGACAGGATCGATCAGAGCATGAAGAGATCCATCATAGTAAGTGTCATAACCATTTTTTAGGTAAAATAATTAAATATTATTTAAAAAAACGATTATTACTTTAATTTTGAAAAATGAAGGGTTATGAATTGATTTGGATTAAATTAAAACAGAGTCGCCATCGATCTTTGGGTTAGGTAGGTCGAATACCTAAAAAAATTTATTTTTTAAGACAAAAAGTTGGTCTGCATTTACAAAGATTCGACTAAAACATGTTCGGGAGTCGATTACTCGTGGGAAAAGATTAGCACCCGCCCAAAATTGGTACTGAATCGCTTACACGTTGTCGTAACTGGTAGAACTTATGAATCGAATATGAAATTAAAATATAATCCATTTATTGAACTTTGATTAATTTGCTTCGAATTAATTAATTAGTGAAAAAAAATTTAACTCAAAAAGAAACCTCAAAATTAACAATTCTCCGTCGAAAAAAACTATTTCGACTACTTATCCGTAAAAAATATTCTCTTCGATAAAACGCGAATAAGTTGATGTTCTCATTAAACAAAAATAAGTTGATTAACTAAAAAATGAATCGAATATGAAATAAATCAATATTTGCATAACATAACATAAACGACCATTTATAAACGTGCATTGCATCATTTGAATTAAAATCAAATTAATTAGTAACATTAACTAAATTTATTTCAAGACCCATTTCGTTCGAACGTCGTTTTGGATTGTACCACTTCGATCAAGTTATACTTTCCACGCCCGTTCTACAAATATGTATTCTTGAAATTTCATTCGAGTGATGGCAAATAAAGGAATTTAAAATCAATAGCTAAAAAATAAAAGAATACATTTTTAATTATGTAAAGGATCCAATATGAAAATATAAATTGAAATACATAAATAAAATAAGTACATGCGTAACAAAGACGTAAATTTCATACAAAATACATACATTAATTACATGATTTATATATATATATATATGCATATATACATGAAATAATAACTGTCAATAAAACAAAGTTACAAATTAAAATTAAAATGTGCATCTACGAATAAGATATGTTAAAATACAGACAAATCATATTTAACAAAAAAATTAAAATAATCTAATATAATATACACTTACATAAAAATATATGAATAGACACTTACATAAAAAATAACAAATTAATTAAAATAATTTCAGGAGATAAGAATACAGATCATCAAGGACTAACAAGCAATAAACCCAAAGTATCAAAGCTTTAGATACAAGATTAAAATGAATACTACGCTAAATATAAAAACCAGAACATGAAATCCACAATTTTATATCTTAATATATACGTAGGATCGAAATGAATATTGTGCAAAATCAGCAGCCTATAGTATGAACATATAAACAAATAATAGTATACTGATGAGGACTAAAATAGAACATAAAATAATTAACGATCTCGAAATAGGAATATAACATTTTTATAAAGTGACCATAATGAAACTTTTACAAACCAGAGAACCTCCCTGTGTGGTTCACCCATGCGCTGATGACATGAAACCCTAAGGCTCAAAACGACGCCGTTTCACTCGGTGCTTATATATCCATTTTAAGTGTTTAGAAACCCACTATTCTCCCATTTCAATCTCTGCCCGAAAAAAAAAGAAAGGAGAACTCTCCCAGACTCTCCAAACAGCCGCCGATCCACGGCGCTTCCAACGGCCAAGAGGCAATCGGCGCTTAAAACAACCACCGCAAAGCCCCACTTATCCCTCCTCTTTCCTTTTCCTAAATCCAACCTAAGAACCGAGCCCTTTATCCCTCAAAGCTTTAAACAAAACCCTTACCTTCGAAACAAATGGACCTCTATTCCGATGAAGCAACGGTGGTGGTCGAAAAAGGGTAAGATTATCACTCTATCTCTCTTTTATTTTGAGATTTCTTCTCTTTTTAAGCCGAATGTCTCTCTATTTTATGGTTTTCTTATGCTCAAAATCTTTTTTTATTTCTAAAAACCCGAATGGCCTCCTTTTTGTTGCTGCATGTGCTTTAATCTTGTTTGTTGGGTGAGATGATGATGATATCTAGAATAGGGGTATGAGTCTCACTGATTTTGCAGGATTAAATCCCGTAAAAATCGGGATTTAGGTTATATTTTATTTGGGGTTTTTAAATTTGGGGAGTTGGTGCACTGTAGATGATAACTTGGGGTTGATTTGTTTTCTGTTTTTGCAGGAACCGATCACTGTTCGATGGATGGACTCCCATCGGCTCCGATGGTGGCGGCGACGAGGGAAACAGTCGGCTTGAGCGGCTGAGAAATTGAAGAGTTGAGGGCGGCGACGGCTGAGCTTTGGTTTAGTGTTTGAAACCCTAATTGTTTAGGGTTATCATATGATGGGCTCAGGTTAAGCCTAGGTTGGGCCTTGTAATTACTGTTGGGCTTCTGGTCATTGCTGGGCCTGCAAAATATGTAACATGTAAATTAATAATAAAAATACATAAACATAATAATAATTATAATAATAATAAATATTTAACAAAAAAATTCGGACAAAAACGAGTGTCTATAGTAAGATTACTAGATGACGAATAGGGTAAAAAAAAATACTGGAACGAATTCAACTATTGTGGAAACCCAAAGGCAATTTTCAGGTGGCGGATCTCGATAGTGACTACTATCTAGTGATGCTAGAGATAGAATGAGACTACGTGAGAGTACTTACAGAAGGGTCGTGGACCGTTTATGGAAGCTATCTAACCGTCTAACCCTGGAGTAGATCCTTCTCCATATCTGAAAACTATCCGTCGCAAATAGTCGTATTGGTAAGAATTCCCACACTACCATATCGATATTACTCTAAAGTCTTTTTTAAATGCATTGCATCAATCATAGGAAAAGTGGTCAAGATCGATTATAAAACACAACGGAGGCCGAGGAAAATTTGCCAGATTAGCAGTCATAGTAGATCTCAATAAACCATTAATTCCCGGTATTTGAATCGATGGGACCCTCCAACAACTGGAGTACGAGGGACTCCAGCAAATATGCTGCAAGTGTGGCAAGTATGGACATCTAACAGAAGCGTGTGGAGTCTCCTCCACATCAGGCAACATACAAGGACAAGATAAAGGACCAGAACAGGGTAACAACACTATGGAACCCAATGAAGATAATATATATGCCCCATGGATGGTTACATCATTCAAAAGAAGACCAACACGACGCACGCAGAACATATCAAATGAAGGTACAAAGAAAACGAACAACAGATATGGATCTAGATTTCAAGCACTAGGAACGAAAACTCTGGAAGACACAATTTTACCTCAAGCTCTAAGAGAAACTGTCGACCAAGGGGAGCAGATAAACGTAGAAGGAAGCGAAATCCGAAACTCAAAACATCAACAGAATGAGACCAGTCCCAAGATCACTCACATAGTTACCGTTTCAAAGGAAGTCACCCCCCATATGCAAGCTAAGGATACTAATAAGGCAAACAACACATCATCCACCCCAACTATCACGATACCTAATGGAACAAAAGCAACAGTAAACACCACCCGAAGAACAAACGCAGGTAAAGGTAACCACTTTGCAGTGGCTATCATTGAAGATGGACTTAAAAAAACAAGGAGAAACATAATGCATGGGAAAGGAAACTAAGTAGAAGTGGCCAAACCGAGACCTGGTTTAAACCGAAAAGACCTTAAAACAAGAAGAACAAAGGAGAGCGGTAGCTCAACCCGAGAAGCTTTGACGGAGTGGGCGAAATCAATGGAACAACGACTAGACACTACAAGCTTTTGAACAAAGAGCCAAGTGATATCATAATACAAAACCATGTCGCGGATAACATCACCATGGACACCGGACAAAACAAAAATACGATGATGACACTAGAAACCTCAAATTCGAATGAACAACCTGGTTTGGTAGAGGTGCAGGTACAAGAAGCAATGACCACCCAGATGGAGGAGCAAGGAAGTCTTATAACCAACACAACTTCCCAATGATTAATTTCCTCTTTTTGAACTGTCAAGGGGCAGCAAGCCCATCTTTTCGAAGACATTTTAAGGAACTCTGCCGTAATCATAATCCCAAGGTGGCCGCTATCTTTGAAACCAAGATAAGTGACATCACGGCGGACAAAGTAATAGCAAGGTTAGGCTACACAAATTCATTCCGAATGGAAGTGAATGGATTTAGTGGAGAAATCTGGATTTTATGGAATGATACGGTGCAAATCGAAACTCTAACTGTGTTTCCTCAATATGTGCATGCACGAGCACAAGAGGAAGAGAGTTCTAAATGGTTATATTTCACAGCTGTATTCGGCAGCCCACATGTGATGAGAAGGAAAGAGTTATGGGA